AAGAGCAGGGCCAGCAGCAGCAGCAGCTACAGGTCACATGCTCGGTAAGTGAAAACGGTGTCTCTGTGATTAGCCACTCTCGGACATTGTCGAGAGGGAGGATGTCAGCAGAGAGCTGGTGTCTCTGTCAGACAGGGCAAGGGGTGACGGGTTTAAATGGGAAGAGGGAGATGGAGGTGGGACATCAGGAAGGAATTCTTCCCGCAGAGGGTGGGAGCGCTGGGACAGGTTGCCGAAGAAGCTGTGGATGCCCCATCCCTGGGAGTGTCCGAGGCCAGGCTGGATGAGGCTGGGAGCAACCTGGACTATGGAAGGTGTCCCTGCCCATGGCAGGGGGTGGAGCTGGGTGGGCTTTAAGGTCCTTTCCAACCCAAACCATTCCATGGTCTAGGAAGCAGAGATGTGTCAGCCCTAGCAGCTTGCACATGATGTGGGGCATCTGACTCCTGATGGGTGTAGGAGTGTGGTGTGTTAGTGTTGGTACCTAGTTACAGGATTCAGAACTCCCCGAAAGAAAGCACAGTCGGGGTCGCCGTGGTGTGGGTGAATGGGTCGCCGCTCTCTGCTGGCATCCCACGGTCTGCAGTCCTCCCCCGAGCTGATCGGGGGTTGTGGTGGCTGGCAGGGAGCGGAGCAACGGTGTGCAGGCCCCTCGCTCTCAGTTAGGTGTGGGGCCCAGAGCAGATCCAGTGCCGGGGCAGGGTGTCCGAATCCGACTGGTGGTGAGCCAGCGTTGGGGACCGGGTGTCGCCGTCGCTCCTGCTGCTGGTGAGGGCCGGGTGTGCCGGAGCTGCTCGCTGTGCTGAGCAAGCAGGGCAGCCAAACTTGCTGCTGGATTTCAAAGCTGTGCTGCTCACTTTACGCCACAGACTATTTCGCATTGGCTTTTAAAACTTGAAGAAGCAGGGCTGTTAACGGCCTCTTGTGTGTGCAAATGGATGTAGTTTATCTTTTATTGCCGGAAAGTGCGAGGCGTTGATCTGTGAAAGCCTGGTTTTACTGAATTGAGGGCAGAAAACCCCAGGTCTGCCAGCCTAAGTGTTCTTTCAGCGTACAAATGACACACTTGGCTTACCAAGGCGTCTGTGCCCTCCTCTCTCGGTGAGTGCTGAGACAAGGAGGATTGCTGGCTGCAGCCATGGCTGATTGTTTGAGATGACTCTGGGCTGCAGCCCACCAAGGCCTCCCCTGGAGAGGGTTCCCTGCATCTCCAGGTAGCTTCTGGGTGCTGGATGCCCCCTTCTACCAAGCTGTGCTTCAGGCTGCAGCTTACGGGTCTCGTCGTGCCTGGGGGCTGGTTTGGTCGGGGCTTTCTTCTGTCATGTTCAAGGAGCCTCCTGTAGCTCATCTTTCCCTGCCTTGGTGCCTCCGAGATCACTCATCCCTTTCAGCTGCTTGCACGAGCCAAGCTGATAGAACTCTGCCTTTCTGCTGAACAGGATTTTTGGATTTATCCCAGGGTCTTTTGATAGTGGGAGCCACATTCCTGGGATCCTTTCTGAGGTATTAGCTTCGTGACTTATTTAAAGGTTACCTGTAGAGCTTCTACTAACACAGTGTGTCCCTGTGCGCAGTGGTCTGCCGTTCTCCGCTATCAGACAGTTTTCTGATCCCGGTGCTCCGAAGGAAAGGGCGTTGTACAAGCCCCTAAACACAGGGGCAAGTCCAGGAGGGATGCACTCGTCCTCTCGAGGGCAGTAAAACTACTGTGGGCGAACATCAGACTTCTGGGGGTTGTCTCCCTCGACTGTGAGACAGGAGTTTGCCTGCTTGCCCCATGCTGTCCCCTGGCATCGTGCTGCTTGCGCCGCAGGCACGGTGCGGCTATTTTGCGCTCTTTGGGACCAAGAGAAGTCAGTTAAGAGCAACTGCCGGCTCAGTGGATTAAGCCCAGCCTGCGTGCCTGCCCTCCCCCTGGAGAAGGTGTCTGCTGGGTCAGGGTGGGGATTGCCCCCCGAGTTGGGCCGACGGAGGCGGTCGGCTCTGGAAAGCTGTCTGCTCCCTGGGTAGTAAGGGGGTAGCGTTTCTTACGGAGACAAGGTGCCAGTTCACCCTTGGACTCCGAGGCTCGCTTGGCAGCGTAAGCGCGCTGCCTGCTGTGGCAAGAGCTGGGCCCGGCCGTCGTCCCTCTGCGGTGGCTGCGGCTGGTGACACGGGCACTGAGAAGCAAAGAGCCGTTAAGAGGAGGCGACCCTTTGCCTCTGGGTTGGTTGTTCTCCTAAGCAAGACATGGGTGTCACGGGAGTCTCCGTGCCACTCCGTCCTGGTGTGTGGTGCTGCCGGAGAAGCTCTCGCCGGACACCGGCGCTTGGCATCATGAAATGAAAAGGTACTGCATTCAGACAGAGCCTTTGGGGGTGGCTCTTCAGGAGAAAACAAACTGTTTCCGTGCAAGAACTGCCCTGTAGCATTCGGGGTGTTGGAGTTTGACGGGGGCTGTAAAGCTTCAAGGTAATCTCCTTAGCTGAGGTAACCATGGGACTCTGTGGGATGGGATTGGAAAGCCGTGGTGAGGAATGTGGAGCTGGTGCCGCTGGAAGGCTCGCCGTTCTTTCTGGGTGGGTGCCATCACCCGCCAAGTTTGAGGTAGTAATTCCTAGCGGCTCGTGTTCCCGCTGCAAAGGAAACCTCCAAGGGGTCTGGAGACCCCCGATAGTGGGCCATCCCGTGACTTCAGAGCAGTGGCTCGTCCTCAGCAGCGGTCTGTGGTGGTGTGGAGTGCTGCATCTAACTGGATCCATGTTTGAGGCTGGTGCGTGTGTGTTTATGATTCTCGGACGAACGGATCTCATCGGTTGTCGGCGATAAGGACATACCTATCCTGCCTGCTCCGCACCGAGCAGTGCCAGGAGCCTGCCCACGATGGGCAAGGCTGGGAGGGAGCACACGCGTGCACAGCGCGCAGC